AAAGAAAGAAAGAAAGAAAGAAAGAAAGAAAGAAAGAAAGAAAGAAAGAAAGAAAGAAAGAAAGAAAGAAAGAAAGAAAGAAAGAAAGAAAGAAAAAAGCGCGGAGGGGGTGGGAGCTGGGGGGGTAACCAATGGAGTGAAGGAGGCTTGGCTAACCTTAGCCTCCCAATTTCTCTCCCCCCAGTTCAGGGCTCTGACCAGTCAGTCGCCTTTGATTATCAGTTGCCAGCAGCCCTTCTCTTGGGTCCTTGACACGAGCTCCATATAAGGCAGCTATCTCCATAGAAACGTGTCAGTTTCAATAGTAGTGTCAAAGTTCACTATATACAGACATTCGCGCAGATCCCCCTTTCGGAAACATTGCTTCGCTAGGCTCACCGTTTAAACGCATTCATTTTTTGGGTCTCTCTCTCTCCCTCTCTCTCCCTCTCTCCCCCTCTCTCCCTCTCTCCCCCCCCTTCTCTTTCTTGCATATTCTATTAGTTGTGTGCCCCCCCTTCATCTCCCTCTTCTCCTTCCTTTTCTTCTTTTTTCCACCCTTCCTCCTTGTGTCTTTCGCTTCATTCCTGCAGGAGAAGAGGAGAGAGGTGAAAAAAAAAAAAAAAAAAAAAAACAAACTCGGAAAGAAAGAAAGAAAAAAGGGGGAAAGGAGAGAGAGAGAGAAACAGGGGGGAGGGGGAAAGTCCGGAGAGAGAGAGAACGCGTTCACATCTTAATACCGTTATTATTTTAACCATTCTTGCCTATTTTTTAATTTTGGGGGTGGGCTTCTTTTCTGGGTGATGAGTTTTTACACGAAATACTTTTTTTAAGCAACTAAACAAACAAACAAAAAGAATCTTTTTGGGACTATTTCCACCGATTTTCTTCCTTTTTTTTTTTTCCTCGCAACCAGTATCGTGCGCTCTCACAGAAGAACACCGAAACGGCAAGAAAGAGAAGAGGATTTATTTACCGACCTACTTTGGATCTCTCTTTTTCCTGCAAGTGTCGTTATTATTCCCGTTCTCTATTTTTACACTTCGCCGTGAATTCGTCTCCTCTGCGAATTTAGTCACATCCGATTTTTTTTTCTGCGATTTAAAAAAAAAAAAAAAAGGCGAGAGAGAGCGCGAGCGAGCGAGAGAGACAGAGAGCGAGAGAGAGCAGCTCGGGAGAGAAAGAGCAGCGACCGGCAACCTCCTCCTCCTCCTTCCCTGCCGCCGCGACAGGAGATCAAACTGCCTCAGCTCCCTGCCCGCCTCCGCCGCGCTCCCCGGCTCCACCGCCCTGAATGGCTGACGGCGCACTGCCCTGGACCTGGCCCCCGGACACCTCCATACTCTGATCGCCGACGAGCGGCTCCTCTCTCGACCTCCCGCCTCCCCGAGAGCCCACACCGGCACCGGCGGCAGCGACAGCGGCAGCAGCCTCCGCGGGAGCGGCGGCGGCCGAGCCCCGGCGGCGACGAGCGGCGAGCGGCGACCTCCTCCTCCTCCTCTTCCTTCCCCTCCTCCTCCTCCACCTCCTCCTCCTTTTCCTCCTCCTCCTCCTCGGCGGCGCCGCGGCTTCCTCTATGCCTGCACATCCTCCGCGCTCGTAGCGCCCGGACCGCGTGTGCCTGTGCCCGTGCGTGTGTGCGTGTGCGCGAGTGGGGAGCCGTGTGCCGGGCATCTGCGCGCGTGTCTGCCTGCGTGTGCGTGTCCGGCGTGTTACTCTCCTGAATGCCTCTCCCGACAGCCTTGTTTGCCGTTTCTGATTTTGCAACTTGAAGTGGCGGCGGGGGGGGGGGGG